CTTATTTGCGTATAAAAATCCCTGTCTTCTGAATTAAACAAGGACACAGTGATGTGTTAAAAGATCGGATTAACTTGATGTGTGCTAACACGGGTGACAAGGGCCCAGTATTCCTCACGGATATCCCTCACGGGCACGGAGCCCGGAAGCTCTCGACATGAGATGTGTGAATGGCGCTTACTTAACGCCGCACTGAGAATCCGAGTTGGTTTATTGAATTAAAACGAATTTTATTTTACCAGAGGGAGACTTTGTGTAAAAGATCTCTACGTGGTTGCTTCTTTTCTATTCGTATTTCTGCTGCTAAGTAAGGCAGTGAAATTGCACAGTATGGAGACATGGTACAGTAGAATTACGATTATGTGAACATCAATTATCCGAATATTCGATTATTCGGACTTATTCTTTACAACTCTAATTACAGATTTAGAAATAGGTATAATGTGTTAATTGAATAAATAATATATATATATAATTTTTATTTATATCGTATTGTCTAAATGGTGTATGTTAATAATTTAAGTAAGCAAGTGATATCTGTATTTGTGTATGAGTGGTTGTATTTACCCACATACTGGATGCATATACAGAATATATGCATCATATAATATAACTACGTACATATAGTGTGTAACAATTAGTCCAATCAAAATACCTCCAATCCATCTTGCCTGTATAGCTGGTTAACTATACGAATATTTGATATACAATGGAATTGATCTTGAAGCCATGTTTACCGTGTTTACGTAATGACAATGTATTGTTTTGGTGGGCATGTCAGAGAATACATAATACATGGTGGTTGGTTGTGGTACACTCTAATATTAAATAGGGTAATTATTTAGTATTAAGGTTTACCTTAACCAATCACCATTAATAAGTTAGTAAGAGACCTTTTCAATCGATTTGAGAAAATAAAAGGTTGTTTCCAATTTAGTAGATGTTTTTGTGCTTGATACCTTAAAACTTCGTTATTTTTAAATGTATTTGGAATATTTTATAAAAATAGTTTCTGTAGTTCAGTTTTTGAATTAAAATTATTGGTCTTGCCATAATACCATATTGAGAAGTAACAACATGACCGGAACAAATCTTGTGACGTCACTTGAAAGAATTTGTTTTTTAATGCAACTTAAAATGGAAAACGTGCTAACGGCCTACTTTATGGAGAGTGCTAACCGTAAGTTATAGACATGAATCATGCACCATAGGCATAACAGATTACACTATTGTACCAATGATACCATTAAGAGGCTACCGACTAAACCGTCTTTAAAAAAAACGTTCATGCTCACTTTTTTACTTTATTCGAGCAGTAAGTACTTTATATTATTCTCAATTTCGTCTATAATATAGTATATGTAATATATATGTGTAAGTATATTTGTTATTTATATACATTTATTCGTTTATATATGTAATTTTAGTATGTATGTATATCAATAATTACTAGTACCGCATTCGAGTATTCTGACACTTCCCTATGGTTGACTGGGAGAGAATGCTTTTAGCATTCAGTCCACCATGTACACATGTATGTACTAATGAATAAATAAATACCTCTTATGCGTTGCTATTCCTGAAGACAAAGATGCCCTGCTCCATTCCTTATCCTTCGTACCCTATAATTTCATTGACACATCCCACCCTATAAGCCGAAGTACAGTTATGAAAGCGCAGCTGTTTCACGACAGAAATACGAGTGGACCAGAGGTATCCCTGCAGACGACTTTTGTACAAGTCTCCCTCCGGTGGAATTTGATTTATTAAGGATGTTTTTTTATCAATAGGGAGATGTTGCTATTTATGTCTACAGGCAATGGTTAGAGCTTTCCATCTGGTAAGCCATAAAAGTTTTACAAAAAAATTGACAAATTTAAATTGATGAAGTTTTTGGTGAGTCGTTTAGAAATAATTTATTTAATTTTGTTACCATTAAATTAAAGGCGATTGCCAGCATAATTTGAAATGATTTGATTTGAAGCATAACATGAAGTTTCACTACTATTATTATTAGTAGAAGTTCTACGAACTTTTATATTAGTCACCAATCTCCGACCACTATTCAGTCCATACATATGTTGCGACACGTGTTTCATTTTTAAACGAGGCATCTTCAGGCAAATTAATAGATCATTGCTCGGAGTCTAGTTTTTTTTTGTTGACCGTTCGAACGGTCTAACAAGTGATATGGACTTAAACAGCACTAGGTGTTCAGTGAAAAAAATTTTGGTGTCTGCCATATTCGAATTGACGATCTTTGTAATTTATAATTTGAGGTAATATACCACTGTGCTGTGACGGTCTTATTGAACAATTTTTTTTTTACAACATAGCGGGCAATCGAGCATGCGGCTCACCTGATGGTAAGTGACTACCGCCGCCCATGGTCACCCACAACACCTACGGCATTGCAGGTATGCTGCTGGCCTTTAAAAAAGGAATATGCTTTTTTCTTGAAGGTTATATTGTCGTATCAGTTCAGCAATACTGCTGCTGGAAGTTGATTCCAAAGAGTGGTTGTGCGTGGGAGAAAGTGCCTTGAAAAACGCACGGTGGAGGACCGCCACTCGTCCAGATGGTTGGGATGAAATTTTAGTATATGGCGGGTTGTACGATGGTGAAAATCAGCAGCAAGTATCAATCCGAACACTTCTTCAGAGCACTCCCCATGATAAATTCGGTAGAAGATGCACAGAGATGCAACATCTCTACGTGGTTTCAGTGGGTTGAGTCGGACAGTATAATTAAATGTATGTAGATTTACAGAACAGTTCACGAGAGTTTATACCTCAATATGGAATCCAAAGTATCGATCGCTCCCATTCGCTGCTTGCATTTTGTTTACGTCAAAACACCGTAAAACCATTAAATGCCGTGTGTCGTAAAACAAGCTCAGGTATATATTTACGTATATCATAAAAATGATGCGTAAAAATAGCTATGTTTGTCGTGTATCGGTGTTTAAAATTGCCATTCGGTTATGCTTGGTGTTTCGTGCTCTACACATCAAGAGGAATGAATCGTGTTTGATTAATTTGTGTGTCTATTGAAATGAAATGGAACGAAAACAAACAAGACGAAAATGAGTGCAATTTATTTCCTTATAAATGCTATTTATCATCAATTCACATATTTCTTTTTAAAAGGCCAGCAGCACACCTGAAATGTCTCTGGTGTTATGGGTATGGGCAGCGGTAATCACTTACCATTAGGTGAGTTGCATGCTTGTTTGCCTCCTAGGTTATAAAAAAAAAATTACAATTTATAATCTCTTCCTATATATATTTTTTCTATTAAACTATATTCATCGAAATATACAACATATTTAAGATTGCCTCTCGATCACATTAGGGGAGTTCTCTACACTGCGTTTATACGCACGAGTTTGTCACTTGAGAAGCTTTCTTTAGCGAGTTTTTTTTTTGATGGGTGAAAATGGTATGGTAAACCGCCTGCGCTAACGGCATACGCTGGCGGAGCACCAGTGAAGGGTGATAAATGAGAATGAAAACAGGCCAGTTAGTCCATCATGATGAATTCATCACAAATTAACCATGATAGTTTCCAGGGAGAACCGTGAGGAGGTCAGGTATATTGCTAGCAATGGGATTCTCAGTCAAAAAAAAACAAAAAGCAAAATATATAAACTAACAATTTCCTTTCTTTCCTTTCCTTCATGCGTGTGCCATAGTAACACAAAATGGTCACAACTCAGTTTATTGCTTTGCTCTTAAAAGAGCAAAACACTGATATTATGTTGTGGCCAAGAGTCAGTCGATTAACACATCACAATCGACTTTGAATCGAATTTGAAAAACATTGGTACATCAACTTGCAGGTGAACCAAGAATGTAACATAACTACAAATAGAGATAGCGTGTTCCACACGAGCGATTAAAAGCGCTCACATGCGAAACCGTAATACCACTAAAAATATTTCAAACAATTCCCAAACTGCAGTTTCCAGTTCAATTAATCTTTGGCAATAATGTGTTCATAACTCAGAATCGAGCGCGTACAGCGCCAGTCTACGGGCCGGCGTCATTTGCATGAACTGTAAAGGATTTATGTGAAAGTGTGGTCATTGGGTCGTTCACTTTGAATTGTGAACTAGGAATCGTGATTATGCATTAGCAATACGTAAGATTCGTTGCTTCTTAAAGTTCGAAATTGTAGTGCGAAATACAAACGTGCAGTGCGTGTTTCAGCTTGAAGTGTCTGATCTACTTATATCTATTAGTATCTATTATAAATAGGAAAGATTTTATTGTTTGTTTATAATTGCTACAGAAAACGTTTACCATCTGACCGGCTGTATGCTTTTTTATTAAAGTGGATATACTCAAAAACTATTTAACCGATTTTAAAAATACTTTCACCTATATAAAGCTACATAATCACTAAGTAATATAGGATACATAATGCCTCCAAAATAATGTATTAAAATGGTTAAACCATTAAAAAAATATTTCATATGTATCTAAAATTTCCCTGTTAAAGCTAACATAAAAATAACATAACTAATTTATTTTTTACTATCTATATGCCCGTGCGAAACGGGAGTGGATTGCTAGTATGGCAATAAAATTACAACGTAGTAAAGCATAAAACCTCAAAGCTAGCAAATGTGGTAATGTATGAAAGGAGATTGTAAGATATTTTACTAAACTATGCAATATTTTGTGGATATGGATTTCCACTTGTTAGTTGGTTAGAATTATTTTGTTTAATTCCGCTATTATTATACCTATTTATTATGCCTCATTTAGAAAAGAAAGAGGGAGTATTGTACAAAAGTCGTTTGCTTGAGCACCCCTGTCTCATTTGTGTCTCTACCATGAAGCAGTTGTTGCATGGCTGTGTTTCGGTTTGAAGGGTGGGATATGTAGTGAATATACAGGGTACAGAGGAATAAAACCTGAGTCCTCAGGTATGGCAACGCATGGGGGTATCATGGGTGAAACAATAGACTCTGTTATGTCCATAGTACTAGAGATGGGCAATCCACCTGGGTGGGTTTAAAGTCTGGTGGGTAAAAACCGGGTGTTTTGGGTTTATTGGGTTTAAACCCCATAAACACCCAAATTTTTGGGTGTTTATGATTTTGTACTTCATCATCGTCATCTCAGCCGCAAGACGTCCACTATACTGGACATAGACAATATTATTATGCAGCCTACAGAATAAAAAACTTTTAATTTGATTTTGAGTTTATTAAGAAAGAGATGAAAGTAAAATGTAAAACTACAGTCAATCACTGTCAGATTCAGAGTTATTACAAGCGATGAATTGTATAGGTTCGATAGGCTCTATTTCGTCTAAACTGTTATGTTCATTTACTTGCTCAATGAAAGCTTCTAAGGTATTTTCTTCATTAAACTGAATGTCCTCGCATTCAGCTTTATGTTTAAGATTCCAGTTATAACAAATGAATGAAATTTTTTCAGTTCTTTCAGTTGTAAGTCGATTTCTTTTGTTATTATGTATGTAGCCTTGGATACTAAAGGAACGCTCAGTGGCTGCCGAAGTACAGGGAGCTGATAGAATACGAATCGCTACTTTGCTTAACTCAGTGGAACCACAAATACCTTTCCACCATATTAGGGGCTCAATGCTATCTAATGAGCTCCATACAAATCCTCTGGCCCAAAAGTTTTCTTTAGCTTTATAACACGCCAAATCTGCCATTACATTTGACAAACTTAAGTGTTGGCTTAAATTGTAGATAAACTCCATACCCTTAAGTTCTTCCTCTTGAGTAAGTTCGACTCCTAGAGTCCTGGGGTCTAGAATATATGCTGCAAAATGTATTGGCCTCATTGCCATATTGCATCTTGAAGATACTGATGTTAGAATCTGCTGTTTGCTTTCTTCGCTCAATGTCGAAATCTCATTTAATGCAAAACGTATCTTAGCTTGTACATCTCTAAATGTAATGTATGTGCGATGCAAACGATTCTGGTCGCTCTCTAAGTAAAATATGCTTTCAGTGACTGGTTCCAAAATACTTATACATTCCCCTGTCTTCGTCCAGAAATCATCACTTAGAATTAAATCTTTAATATCTCTTGAAATTACCACATCTTCTCTAACTGTTAATATTTGCAAAGCTATCTTATTTGCTTTCAAACTTTTTAACGAAGTAACATGACTTCCCCATCTTGTAGCACAAGGCAATTTTAGTGTTTGTGTAGAATCTTCACCCTGCCTTGATTTTATCAACAAGGAACTTAATCGTTGACTCCTTTTAACAGTTTTTATTATATTTATGGCTTGCATAATAAACACAGTTACTTCTTGTATCTTTACAATATCTTGGCACAACAAGTTAAGGATATGTGCACAGCAACCGAGAGGAACAACATGTGGATATTTGAGTTTTGTTAATTCGAATGCCTTTTGTATATTTCTAGCGTTATCGCCAATAAGTACAAGAAACTTATTTGCTCCATACACTTTCATTACTTTTTCAACTTCTTGGCTAAGGTATTCACTAGTGTGAGGATTACTTTCTGTATTCAAACTTTTAACGTATGCAGGTTGAGGTTTTGATATAAGAAAGTTTATTATTCCTTCATTTCTTAAATTAGACCAGCCATCGCACTGAAAGTGTAAGTAACTACAAGCATTTAGTTCCTCATTTAACTCAAAACGCATTTCTCTATATATTTTATCTAAGTATTTTGTCGCTAAAGCTTTACGTGAAGGTATTTTAAATTTTGGTTGCAATTTTTCGAAAAATTGTATCCATAAAGGATGTTGCACCATCGATAATGGCGTCCCTGTTACAAATATAGCTCTCGCTAATTCTGTTTTTATATGATCATCGGTGTCTTGAAACTCAGCATTTATTGTAGTGTTAGCAGACGACGAGGGGCTTATAAAAGAATCATTTGTCTCTATCTCTGACAGTCCAGACATTTTGGTTTTGGACGAGCTATCTTTTATAAGTTTCATAGAGTCTTTTAATGTTTCTGGAGATTTTGGACAAGTGATAAGATGTTGAAGCATTTTGGCAGCATTACTGAATTTGTAGACCTTATTACAAAGCTTGCAAGAAACAGACTTGTTTGGTAAAGTACGGTAGTGCTCCCATATGCGTAAATCTTTAGGTCTCCCCATTGAACCTAAAAAAATGAACGATGATTAGTTGGTCTGACGAAAATTCAACAATAGAGTGCCTATTTTTTTACAATGATTATTTCTTGTTATTTACAATAAATTTATTAAAAAAATAATAAAATAAATACAAAAAACCTTTGTAAAATTACATCTCCTCGGAGGATTAAACGCAGACGCTAGTTTATTATCGTATTGTTCTGTATTTTTCTCAGCAACTTCTTTAATTCGATTAGGTACTTACGCATATTATGTTAAAAATAAATATCTAGTACACATCTTAGGCTATCCACCATTATTATCCAATGACGACTCTCAGCTAACTATGCACTATCATCCAAAATAAACGTGTATGGAAAATTTTATCCCAGTCGGTTGAGGATTGAGGATAATTGCATCAACATACGAACATACCTACATACTTTTATTTACATAACGCAAGCTAAATAAAAGCTTGTAATAATACATCTAATTTTAAGTTAAAATTGTTAAGTGATCATGATATAATTGTATCATTCAAAAATCCACTTACCTTTAATTATTTCTTGTTAAGTATAAATATTATTTCAAATCTGCTCCCTTAATATGCACTTTTTTACTGCTTTTCCTACCTAACACGTTACCAGGAAGTCACGTTACCAGAGTCAGAGTAATAGTGAACACGTTTGACAGTGATTGTCGTCGCCTCATATTCAGCGTCGACGAATAGGGGAATCCCCAGTCATAATGTATTGCATGCGTGGCGGTCTTACTTCAAATCCATAAACAAAGAGATAATTACAGAACTCGATACTAGATGGCGCTGTTTTTGTTTGAAGAAAGTTTGCGGGCTAAAATACATAGAATTTCATCAATGACTTCCACAAAGAACAACATTTCTGTTTTTTCTAAGTCCGTATCTCTTCCGTATATTTCATAAGATATAAGCTTGGGCTACATTGTTATGCAACGTGATTTTGTCGCTGTCTTGCTAGCAGGGTTGACAGATATACGATTTAAATCGTACTCATACTATTATTTGTCTATTTTTTAATGTACGATCGTAAAGATTATGATCGTAATTCGCACAAAAACATACGACTTTTTGGTTACCTGGCAACATTTTTATTATGAAACGAACATGCTCACATCATCAGTCACATGCAACAATTTATTGGGGATTTCCCCTTCACATCTGGCAGTCCTGCTTGCTAGAATATAGGTAAGTCAGCCACAGTTACTGACGATCGATATTTAAAGGGTATTGTTTTTGTGCTAAATATTTCATAAAAACGTTATTTAATACTTTGTGGATTATTAATTTAGTTGATAATCACTGGAAGTAAAATGGATGCTAATTTGAGAGATCAAGATCTTCGTATAAAACAGTTAATAAAAGAAAATCTACGTAAGTACTCTTTTTATACCTAGGTAGGTAAGGTATAATAAACACAAAAGGTACTTAGATCGCGTGTGTTCGAAGCATTTATTCTAATAAATTTAATTTAAAATTGTAGAAAGAAAAAAATGTCTGCCAAGCCGTAGCCGAAGCCGATCTCCAAATATATTTGGCGATAGTGAGACCCAGTGTCCAGATGATTTACCCAGCGTCGTCGCAACAAAGAAAAAAACGAGGATAAAGTAAAAGAAAATTTACTGAAAGAAGAAACAAACTGTTCTAAATGCTTAATTTATGGAGAAGAGGATAAAAGAAATGAGTATTTCGGACTGTTAGTGGCTCAAGAATTTAAATATATACGGCCATGTGTGCGAACGAGGTGTTATGAAGAAATTTTAAAGTATCTACGGGAAGCAAAAGGCCAACATGTTGATCAACTGCAACATGAAAACACTGAAAATTAATTACTTTCATTTTATTATATATAGATTTTTAAAATTTCCTGAAATATTATTAGTTAACGTTTTATTTAATATTGTAGAATTGATCAATACAATTTATAAAAATAATTTATTGGTATTACTTACATATTTTCAAAAAAATACGTAAAAACCTATTTTTTTGGGTGATTATGGGAGTTTATGGGTGTTTATTGGGTTTTTACCAAAGCACCGGGTTTAAACCCGGTGCTTTGCCCATCTGTACATAGTACTGCTCATGTCTATAGGCGACACTTACCACTTTCCATCAGGTGGGCTGTCAGCTCGTTTGCCATTCTAAGTTATATAAAAAAAGAAACATGTAGCAAAACGTGCGTGGACTGAATAACGATCGGAGTTTGAAGACTAATATGGAAGGTTGTAGAACTTCTGGTAATAATAACAGTAGTCAATCCTTGAGTATTGGCAGTTTCATTCATACGACTTATGGTAGCGGAATTAAATAAAATAACTCTAATAGACTAATTTATATTTTTTTTTAAATAAAAAAAAAATGCAAATCGGTCTATAACAGACGGGGTTATGAGGTAACAAACATAAAAAAATACAACCGTCGAGAACTTTATTTTTCGACATTCAAAGTCGGTTGAAAACTAAATACTTCCTCTTGAGACTAGCCAAATTTCGTTACCATCATTAGATTTTATAATTGCCCTAACAAATTACAAAGTTACACCTGACTCAATTAATACTTAATTGACAACGTCAAATATCAACGCGCTCGCTGTATTTATTGCGTTAGACGCGGACAATGCGATGATGTTTAGGTGAAAAAGCACAAAAGACTATGGCATCTCGCCTCCTCTAATTTTCTATGAATAATAATTTATTGAAGCGACAGTTTGGAATGACGCGCCCCGTAAATAGGCCATAAATATGTACAATGTATTAAATTATTGCTGTATTTTGCGTATATTGATAAGCTAAAGACTATATAACTAAAGAGCGTTCGGTTTAAGTTAACTGATCACGACATACTGTAGCGTATTGGGGGGAGAAGGGATTGTTAGTAATAAGGATTAGCAAGCCCATTGTCTTTTACTTTTTTTGCCCGTTTACTTTTTATTTTAGCCAATTCAAATAAATCAAATAACGTGCATACAATTTTTAAAAATTACAATCGAACTGAGGACCGTCTTCGGTTTGAAGTCACTTGAAAATAAAAGAGATAATAATAAAAAAAAAATAATAATAATAAAAGTGATAATAAGAAAGTTTTAGATTTGTATATTAAAAAAATGTTAACGATTTATCATCGTATGAGTTTTATATTTGTATTTTCGTTCCATAGCCTCAATTTTATGAAGATTATATTGCTTATAATCCATTGACAGCGCCAATCGACACTAATCCACAATATCCAACTGAGCCTTCCCCCAATCCTATTGTCACTTTATTTGCCTTTTTCGTGAGTAGATATTCAATTTGGCCAATACAACCCCATTTCACAAACCACTGAATATCGCGCAGCTGGCCCCTGTATCACGCCTCAATTGTCAACCCACATTGAAGCCTCGTTGTGGTTGATCCCGATAATTCTTCACAAAACTCGAAACTGTAAGTCGAAAATCCCGAATTCTTAGGAGTGTGGTCCTGGAAATAACACTTAAGTTGATCCCCGATGTCGGTGGAAACTATTTACGTTGTTCCAGAATTTACTTTTTCAAACTTGAACAACGTACGCCGCCTAAGGCGGGATACTTTCGCTCAGTGGGTCATGTCTTACTTGTTTTATATGATTTCATTGAAACTCCAACCTCCGTGTGTTGGCTGCGATAGTTTATATATACTTATAGACATTTGAAAACTTACGTGGGTGTGTTTTAAGAGTTTTACTTTTTCCTTTTGCTCTATTAAGTTTTAGAATTTCTTAAGAGATTCTTCAAAAGGAGGAAGAAATGCCTGTTTTTTTGTACGTTACGCAATATCCTCGGCAGTTCTTGAACCCTTTTTATTATTATTGCTGCAATAAAAATAGGTTTGATTATCTCTTCTTCGTTTACCTTATATTAATTTTGTTACTTTTGAAGGGGCTATTGATTAGTTGGGCAAAATCGTGTTGTCTATTTAAATATTTTAAATGTGATAATATATTTAAGACCAATATCTATGTTAATCGGCGCGTTTTGTATTTTTATTATTAACTAGCATTAGCCCGCTGCTTCAAATGCACGTATTTTAGAAATAGGAAACTAATCAAACAGACCATTTCTAGATAGCATATCAAGATGAAAAAGACACTAGATTTTAATTATTATTTTTGTTCTTGCATTAAATTTTGTGTAATATCGCTACAAATATACAATACAGACAATAATGTTTAAAACATTATTGTTTTGGATGCCAAAATTAGTGTTATTTTATATTAAAAATAGTCTTATACTAAAATTTCTTATGTACATGCATTGTCTAGTTAAAGTTTTATTGTATTAGTAACATTAGTAAGATTCATGAAGAATTCCAATGGGAATAATATACGGGAACTAAAAAGTTAGGAGCGGGCAACACCGCGGGAAACGGTTAGTAAGTAATAATTACATTTAAAATAAACAATAATAAAGAGAAAAATAAAAATTCAGTTCATTTCGCTCGTAATAGGTAATAGAACGACCAAAAATAAGAAAATAACTGGAACTCAAACAATTCGCGTGGAAACAAATGATCTATTAAGCAAAAAGGTGAACAAACCTTTAATTACTTTCCAGCCAATTACACACACAGCTATAATAAAGCATAGACCATAGACCAATTTTTTTTTTCATTACGAGGCGTTGTCAGTTAAAAAAATAGAAATAAAAGGAGAAAAACTTGTCGACCCGTAAATAATTCGGCTTCCTGTTGCAACAGACCGTGATGGGGAGGAACAAACGATAAGTGTACTATATTGACCCTTTGGCTTCGACACACGAGTGTTTTCTATCGAAATCCTAAGTTTAATTGATTTTTTATGAAGACCCAAAAACGCTTGATATGTGCGCAAGACACGATTGTAGCTATTTCCAAAAGAAATTATGATTTTTTATGAGTTTTCCTTTCAATTTTGTTAAGAAATAGACTGGCCTACTAATATACTGAAAGGGGGAGGGATTGGTAGTAATGCGGGCGACCAGTCCCAATACTAGCAATATACCGTGTTATAACAGGTTAACCTTCACGTGGGAAAAGCTGTAAGATAAGGAATTATTAATCCATATAATATGACAAAACCAAAAACAAACTGATGCACAGACAGTGGGATGGATGACGTATAAACGCCAAAGGATTGTGGTCCAACAACTACCGGAAAACCTATGAACAAAAGAATTAGGAACTCCACTAAGAAATAAATAGAACTGACAGGAAATGAAGTATAAACGGAATAAAAGAATGGATGGGAAGTAAGAAAACTAGGAAAACTAGCTAAATAATTAAAAGAATACATAACCTGGAACTTAATATCTGGGAAAAAACGTGCTCTTTAGGGGGAGCTACAATAACAAAAAAGAAAACTTCCACGTAGGGGAAAGGGATTGCTAGCAATGGAGTTTGGCCACCTCATTGCTAGCAGTATACCCTATTAGGTCGATCTCTACGTGGTTCCCCCAGGAAACCATCGTGAACAATTCTTGTTGAATTCATCTCGATGGGGTAACTGACCTACTTCATCCTCACCTATCGCCTTCACTGCCCCGCCGTTGTATACCTACCGATAGCGCAGGTGGGGTTACCATTCCATCATCACACATTAAAAACCTCCACGTGGGGGAAAGGGATTGCTAGCAATGGAGTATGGCCGTCTCATTGATAGCAGTAAACACTATTAGGTCGACCTCTACGTGGTTCCCCCTGGAAACCATCGTGAACAATTCTTGTTGAATTTATCTCGATGGGCTAACTGACCTACTTCATCCTCACCTATCGTCCTTCACTGCCCCGTCGTTATATACCGATAGCGCGAGTGGGGTTACCATTCCATTATCATCCATTAAAAAAACCTCCATGTGATCCCCCCTTGGAAATCATCATGATGAATTCCAGGTCTATTCATCACGTACTAACTGACCTGCCTTTTCATCCTCACCTATCATCTTTCACTATTGCCTCGCCAGCGTATATCGTTAGCCCAGGCGGGGTTAATATTCCATTATCGTCCATTATAAAAAATACCAACATATAGAACGCAGCACACTTATTACATTGTACCGTCAATTATATTTTCTGTTATTCCTGTCTGAGGTAGATAACGCCATATGGTTTTAAGTCCGCCATTTACACTATCTAAGTGTATTA